TCGAACAGCTCTTCTTAAAACCACCACCAAAGGCCAGAACACTGCGATGCCTGCAAGGGACCCATGTCTGAGCTAAAGGCAATTTGTAGGTCTCGCACACCACAGTCAGTATCTCCAAAATCTCAGCCAATGCATTTTGGCGACCCTCATTGCAGATCTGGTATAGGAGAAGTGAAAAGGAAATGAAGATCAAAACGACAAGGAAGAGCACTAAATGAACTCAAGACAGTTCTTGAAAGTTTCTGAAAGAATACTCGAGATTTTGACAGTGGACTCGCAGATAACCTGAGTTGTCTCGTGGTTCAATATTTCCGAAGTTTTCAGATTCACGGCCTGCAACACAGCCGAAAACGTTAATGTCACTGGAAGATCAAAGGATACTGATAAAGGAGCCAAAAAAAAAAAGAAAGGAGAAACAAAACCAAACCTCAAGCGCTTTACAAACTTTTTCAACCTCAGGTGCATAATTAATCTTCGGAGAAGTCATAATAAGCTCGACAACCCCAACACAGAGCTGCCTGGATGGTTCAAAGACAGGCAAAGCCAAGGTTCCCTGAACATTATAGTGCAAGGCGTGACCAAGGCGGGAGAACTCTTTGCTGGAGTAATACTGCACATTGGGAGTCCACTCAGGTAACTTTTTCCTGAAAACACGACCAGGAAGCCCGAGGTCTCCGTCCCGTTCACCATCAAGGGAAAACATATACGTGAGGGAAACCATCCTGTATTGATTAAGGCCATTACTATTGGGACCAAGAACAAATGGCTGTCCTGAAGTTGTAAGAACATATCGCCCACGGTTTTTTACAGGCGCCCAAACCTGAGCAAGAACGTGTTGCTGTCCCGTTGATTCCTTGAAGAATCTAAGCGCTTGAGTCATCTTGGCTTTGATAGCGCAGTAAGTATCTGGATTCTCCAAGGGCGTTATACCCCATAAGGGAGAAGGAACTTGATTGGTAGTCTCCTTGGTCGTGGTTTCGGATTCTGAACCTGCATTGCGTCGATTCCATGAATTTTAAGATCCAAGCAATTTCAACTAAATCTCAAGATCAATGCAATGAAGAAGATTCCAAGGAGAATAATACTGAATAGGAAGCATATCCACAAGTACATTATCCGAATTGGATTCTAGAATCCTAAACTTTGCAACGGATAACACTTACTGGCAAGTAAAAGGGAATAATCGGTGAAGCGAGTGGGAGCTCCGTAAAGGTCGCCGCCGACATCTCCGGCAGCTTCGGAGAAGGACCAGAGAGGAGAGAAAGGCTGCTCGGAAGAAGAGAAAATGACCGGAGACTTGAAATTGGAAGAAAACGTGATCTGATCTAACGGCCAAGAACCGCTGAGATCCAAATCGTCAAGTTCCATCAAGCAAGCAGGGACGGGAGCACGTGAGAAGACCACAACAAAAAGAATAAACTCGTCTGTCAGAGTAGTGTGAATATCCCCGGGGAGTTTCAAAGCGAAACTGTGATTCAAGCAAGCTTCAACACAACACAGAGAGAGAAGGAGAAGAAGAAGAAGAAGAAGAAGAAGAAGAAATAAGAGGAGAAGACAAGTTGTAAATATTTTAATTGAAGACATTTGATTCCACGCTGTACCATTTTACCCCAACCACTAGAATATCTTCCCATTCATGCAAATTCTTTATTTTTATTTTCGGACAACAACAAAAAAAACATCGAATTTAAATTTTTCATTTCCCCCAATTCGAATTTTTCTTTTTAAAATGGTATTTTTAGTAATTTATTGAGGAAGTTTCTAAAATTAAAATTGATATTGTTTGACCATCTCTCTTAGAAAATATTGGCTTTGACAAATTTCGATACGATTTTTTTATTTTATGTTTGTTTGAATTGTACAATTGTTAATGACCGAGAAGATTATACTATATGGTGAAGGTTTTTTTTTTATGTATATCACACATTTCACAAAACAATGAATTGATTATGCTTAAGACGATTCTTACACGTCCAGCACCAAGAAAGTTGTCATATGCATATTTTATGCGCCTAAAAAGGCTTTTAAGACGTAATTAGGCACTAAGTGCTTGTTGTGTGTGAGTAGAATAACAACGACTCCTTTACTTAATTCCATTATTATGCTCTTAGCAAACTTCTAATTATCATTAATAAATCAATTATTGAACCCCCCAAAAAAAAAAAAAATTCTTGATAAACGGAATCTCACTTTCAGAGATGAATAAAAAAGCTAGAAACCACTCAGCCACTTTCAACTACTTACCCAAAGTGGATCATTACTTAAGCCCTTTCCCCTTTGTTAATTCATTCATATTTTATATTAACAGTAGTAATGTGTTTTTTTCCTAGTGGGGACGTCTGTCTAATCACTAGCATTCTTTCTTCTAATGATATCACTAATTTGTTATTTAGCTGTTAATCAACAATAGTTTAACACCAAAGAGAAGAAATTCTTGCAAAGTAAATCCCCACTTGTATGCCAAGTTGACAAGTGTGTTTGGCAATGGACATTTGTGTGTCCTTTACTGACCTTTTCCTTCTTCCATATTTGGACAGTGTAAGGTAGTTAATCAAAGGAGCTTCCCGGCTACCTACACTACGTTAAAGCATCTCCAAAACTCGAACCCTTTTATCCAAAACTAAACCAAATCCGAGACAAACAACCAAACTGAACTAAACAATTCATCGTAAACCAAGCGAAATTGATTATCCCCACCCCCAATAAAACTCGGAATCACATAACGATATTTGAATGCCTATACCTAGCTTTGAACTCCCCTAAATTACTGACATCGTGTTCAAGCAAAGCATCCAGGAAAGGGGGACAAGGTAACAAAATGAAAAATAGTGACACTGAACCTTAGAACGGTGATATGGAAGAACAAATTGATATCGCAACAAAGTCTCATTTGCAAAATCCAATTAACCAAATCACTTCTTTTGAGACATACTTAGTCGCTCCATATCAGTCAATACACGATAACAAAGTTTTACGACCTGGAGATTTCCAAGAACATAAATGGAAGAGAAGAGACGAGCAGTGAGAAAAGTTGGATCTTACACGATACGCTCCAGCTCTCTGGCGTAGCTTAGAGTCTGGTTGATGAGTTGCAGAGACGGAATCTCTTTGCACGGTGCAGTTTCTTTCGCTTTCTGAAAGACAACAAACCCGTCCTTCACTTCCCACTCAGGGTGTTCCTATAAGATTTGACAAAGCATAAATCGCGTCAATGGTTCATGGAACTAAAAAGGAATCCAACACTTAGCACAAATTTTTTTTCGTTTACCTCTTTGACATAGGTTGAGAGTTCTTGATCAGAAGAGAACAGCAACATCTGCCGAGCATCACTGATAGAGACATAATCATAAGCTTTCTCGCTGCATCCAGCTATTTCATCTCTGATAATTCAGTCATAACAAACAAAAGATGTGAAAACACACGACAAGACATGAGACTGAACTAAGCCAGAGAAGGAAGGACTGACTGATACTACCTTATGGTCTTTGCCAAGAGATCCATGAAATAGACATAAGTTGCATCAGGCGCGGTCTGTCTAGCACTCAACACACGGTTGTAGGCACCTTCCATGAACGACTGCTCAAGCTCTACTGCATGCTTGATGCAAGGATTCTCCAGTGTAGCTGATGAAAGTAACTCAAGTTCGGTGTGGAATTCAGCAATTCTATTTTGTACAAGCAGCCTCAGAAGGTTCAGACCAAGGATAAGATTCTCCTGTGCAGATGGGGGAAGACGGTTCCTGGTACAGAGGAAAAGAAGATATGTTAGACACATAAGAAAACATTGCATCCAAATGGAAAAGGATAGTGTTCAGAAAGTTGGTTCTTTCTTCACCTAGCATCCACATAGTAAGGTTTCAACTGGAAGAAATCTCTCTCAAAAGCATCTTGGTCCTCGGTTTTTACGCTCAGAACAACAGCATGCTCATAAATGTCCCCTAGAATTCACCAATTGTCAAAAAAACTTAAGCATATAATCCATAATAATATAAATTTACCATTTACTCAATCCACAAAAATCGCAGCAATTAAAGGTTAATGTATACCCAGTAAACAGTAATCTAAAAGCTAACGTCGTGCATAGACAGACAAACTAAAGCACAGTAAAGCCTGATTGCAAACCCTCGAGTTTTGTGACCCTTAAGAGGTATAAACTGAAGTTAACTAAATAAGTCATGAGGAGAGAAAAATACAACATACTCCATACAATTGATGGCAAAGCAAAACTATAAATTCCCTAGAAACAAGCCATCTAAAACCCAGTAATGAAAACAGAACCTTACTTGCAATAGTCAACTCCTGAGCTGCGTTTGGTGAATTCTCGAACAAAGGAGGAAGACTAGTGAATTTGGTCAGAAGAACCTGAAGAGCATAACAAATAAAAACCACCAACATAAGAAACTATCACCGGTCAATTGCAACCCAGACTAACCCAACATGTTCTACTCACATTAACGATCTCTTAAACTAAAAAGCAGCACTTAAGCTATTCTGCTAAAAGATTTCCAACTCATTGATAAAAATCGAAGCTATCATAGATTCGAACTCTCACGACAAAACCTATCAATTTTCCCAAAATTCATTTATCAAACATGTATATGCAAAGAAGTGAAATCGAAACAAATTAGGGTTCAAAGAAGAGCGAGAGAGATACCTTAAGCTGAGACAACAGATCACTACAGGTATTGTAATCCTTCCTCGCAAACGCCGCCTTGAATCTCTCGAACTGCTGTGAAACTTCGGTTAGCTGCGGATCCATTGCTTGAGCTCTCTCTCTCTCTCTCTCTATCTTTTTCGCTTCACCGGCGACGATTCTTTTCTTCTAGATTTGCTTGCTCCGAAACTGGCTTGATCGGGAAGATAAAGACTGAAACAGTAGTAGTAACATGTCTTTACAAAATGGGCCTTTAACAGGCCGAATCCAATCTAAAAAAGCCCAAAGTGCATATTAGCTCTATGACTAACGTGTACCAACATCATCTCTTATCCAAATTACCTCGTCGTCTCTTTGCTTTCTCCAAGCCGTTGTGAATTTACTTGTAAGCTCTCAATCACACAACAATGGTGGCGTCTTCGCTATGTCTATCAAATTCCGCAATTTTCTCTCTACCTAATGTATCTTCGCGGCCGCTACTCTCATTCTCCCACTCTCTGAGGCCATTCATCTCCAAGTCGAAGCATGTTGCCTCGATACAACAACAACCACAGAAGAGAGATGGGTCTCAATTAGTGGTGAAGTCTCAGGCTCTTGATTTCTCCGGCACTTTCTTTGAAGGTGGATTCGGGTCGGACGATGACCCGATTTCTCCTTCCGGGTCGGGAGTCTCAACTGCCCTTGAGGACAAACCGGAACCTCAGTGCCCGCCTGGACTCAGGCAATACGAAACAATGGCGGTCTTGAGACCAGATATGTCTGAAGACGAGCGGCTTGGTCTTACCCAGAAATACGAAGAGGTAAGTAAAAGTCTCCAAATTTTACATGTTTTGTGTTTGCGAGAAAACGAGATTTTGGGATTCAATTAGATACTGAGCTTACTTACATTTTTCAAAAACCGAAACTTGAAACTTTCTGTAATAGTATAGATAGGTAAGAGATCACTGAATGTTGCATTTTGTGTCGGTGCTTGCACAGAGAGCACAAGCAAAATCTTCTAGATAACCGTTTCAAAGTAGAGTTGAGTATACTGATCAGTTAGTGGTTTCTTATCAATTGAAGTGTATGTGACAATCCTTAGTGAAATCTTAAGTAAAGGTTTTAGCTTTCTAAGAGCAATCTCATCCTTCTTCTGTGCGATATGGACTCTTAAAGTACTAAACGCTAGATACTAGATATCTGCACGAGATAGAAGCCCTTAGTGCACTTCTTAGTCATGTTATACCTTCACATTTTTACTCTGTTAATATACAGTTTGATGCTCGAAATGAACCAATACACAGTTCTTATTGGTGGTATATATGTGTGGATTCCTTAGATTATGTCCCTTGTTTAATCAAATCATGGTTACGAAATGTATGTTGTGTTTCGATAGTTACATATATCACACTCTGAAAGATTTCTTATATCAGTGTTTTTTGTGGTGTGTGGCAGTTGCTTGTGGCAGGAGGTGGAATGTATGTGGAAGTGTTCAACAGAGGAGTGATTCCATTGGCTTACAGCATCAGGAAGAAGAACAAAGCTGGAGAAACTAACACTTACCTGGATGGAATCTACCTTCTGTTCACCTACTTTACCAGACCAGAATCGATAACTCCGCTCGAGGCTGTTCTCACTGCGGACGATGACATTATCCGATCCTCTTCCTTCAAGATAAAGAAGAGGAAGTACAACTGAAGAGACAATAAATATTGTGTATGTGTAAGAAAAAAAAGTCAGATTCTTTCTTCTTCTATTTTGTTGCTCTGGAGAACATAAGTAAATCGCTCTTTATTTAGTTCTGCTTGTTTTTGTCTTTTTGGATTTTTTGTGCATTGCTCTGTTTTTGTTATGTAACAGAGTGTGAGAAACTCTAAAAGCTAAGTTTGAGAAGCATCCTTGTATGCATTTTCAAAAAGAGAATAGAATTAATCCATCGGAATATAGCATAAAATGAAATGATAAATCTCAAATTAGCTCTGTTCCTTTGCACAATTTGACATGAATGATTGCGAGTTGGCCACAAAGAAAACAATTGTGTCTCCTTCAAGATTTATTGATACTGATGATGAAGAGTTAGAAGATTTGGAGTGTGTTCGTGCAGAAGTCACACGGCTTGCCAGCCTTGTGCCCTTGTCACACGGCTTGCCAGCCTTGTGCCCTTGTCACGCTTAAAACATAAACTAGAAGAGCTTGTTGAACACTTTATCTTTTACGTAATGATCAAAACCATAGATATATACAAGTGAGAGAGACCTAGGAAGCTATATCATCCTAAGAAATAAGCAAACGTATCACAAACAAACATATATATATTTTCTTGTGTGTTCATCATCATCTCAATTCCCTTAATTAACAAAACAAACGGGACAACGAATTAGTCCATTCTCGTTACACTTGACACACCTCTCCCAACCTTCACCTTTCGTGGCAGCAACCGCAGCCACCTTACAGCTACCACCGCACTCAAAGCAAGGCAACCACCTAGCTCCTCCGCATCCTTCACACGTGTGCCTCCCTTCCTCCCCCACTCTCTCCACACGTGCCCACCTCAACACCCTCCCTAACTTCCCATTCTCATTCATAGCCGTCACCTCCGCTGCTCCTCCCAAGTACCTCCCTTTCACAAACACTCGCGGTGGCGCCACAGTGGCTTCGTCTTGAAGAAGCTCCTTAAGCTCGCTCAAGACTCCGGCGTCTAAAGCAACGTCCCTCTCGTCCACCACCACTCCTTGCTGCTCCATGATGGCCCTCACACGCATGCAATCTTCATACGTGCGACGCACTCCTTGTAACGACGTCGTGTAGACCACCAAACCTTCCCCTCCTCCCGGCGGACACTTCTCCGGGAACTCCCTGAGTGGGTCCCAGTTCATCACCGGTTTCTTGTTGCCTTCTCTCTCCCTCCGTTCTCTGTCTCTCTTGACGAATATGTTCTCCTTCACTGACCGAGGCCCCGAGTAAGACGGCTGAGTCGACTCCTCCGTCCGATCTTCTGACTGATCGGGTCTTAGCTGGGACATCGACTCCGTTCTCTTAAGCTTCACCACCGTCGTCGGGATCTGCGCGGCGATGCTTCTTTTGGCCCTTGCTTCAAGCTCGTCAAGTGTGTGGAATGATGCGCTCTTACGCGGAAGCCGCCGTGGAGGAGTAGCTGGAGGTTTAACGGAAACCACTTCCGGTTGTTTATCAACGGCGGGTTTAAGTTTGGTTTCTAAAGATTTGCTAACCTCGTCCCAAGTTTTAGGAGCGTTTTCATCATCATCATCATCGTTGAGAGTGGCTGGCACGGTGGTGGCGCGTGGAGGTTTCTCATCATCATCTTGTTCGAATTTGAGCCACGGCTCTTGGATGGCGTTGATATCAAAAACCGCGAAACTGGAAGGCGGTGGTTTGTAAACGTCGGCGACGACGTTAGCTTTGGCTTGCTTGGACGATGCACAACCCATTTTAATGCCTTGAAACTGTGTGTTATAGTTTTCTTAAGGATGCGTGTTTGTGTTTATATTATACCAAGAAGAAAAATGATAGGTAGCAATTTGTGTGGTCTCAGACACTTCTCTTATCTATATATTTTTTGCTTGCAACTTTTGTATTCTTCCTATAATGATGAGTTAGTATAGAAATGTGGATTTATTTGAGTCCATGAATAAATAAATAAATGAAACGAGTTTATATTACTTAAGACCCTCTGATCAGGAGCACCACAAAGTGTACTTGTGGTTTCAGTGTGAGATACGTGGTGAGTCAATCAGATAGATTCTTGACCATCAACCTTGTAATAACTAACTACTCGTTCGTAAATGCAAATGTCAAAATCTCTCTCTAGCTAACCAAGAAAGAAATGCAAATGTCATTATCTTTACTATACTATACGAAAATAATGCATTTTCATAACAAAAAAAAAATGAATACTATAACATTGGGAATAGAGACACATATATACTGAAATTGCCTAGATTTCAAGGACCTTATGAGAAGCCTATCAACACAAAATTCACACAAAATTGCACCTTGTAGATCGTGAATCTCTCTTTGCCATGCTTGTATTTCCTCCAACTTACTTCATGACATCATATCAAATATATTTTCTTTTTCCTCCCTTAGTGCACCACTTAACTATTTACTCTTGCTTCAGTATGGACGAGATTATCCATTTTTTTTTTTTTTTTTTTTGTCATCATGGACGAGATTATCCATTTACAATGTGTACATACCATATATCTTTTGTATCAAGAAAGGAATTGGAAAGGCTTTCAAGAAAAGCAGAAGACGCAAACAAAAAAATGAATTAAGGTTTTGGGCCGGTTTCGAACTATCTTTTTGTTATCGGGCTTTTGTTTGGATTCTAAAAGTTACTCTGTTTACAAGACTTATTTGGGCTTTTAGTATTACGTTTGGCTTTCTTACGCTACGCTTTTGGACGTTTACAAACATTATTATCGGTATGGTCGTATGGATGAGTAAGAGAGAGCTTTCATTTTTTTATTTTTTTTGGTCATCAAGAGAGAGCTTTCATTGAAATAAGTTTTTTTTTTTTTTAATTTTTTTTGTTTTTTGTTGTAAAGAATTGAAATCAAATTCTATAAGAAAAGAATCGTCGCCGGTGAAGAGAAAAAGAGAGCTCAAAGGATGTATTCGGCGCAAACGGAAGTTTCACAGGAGTTGGAGAGATTCAAGGCTTACAATAGCTGTAAGGAGCTTAAGGTATGTATCTCTAATATTACGGGATTGTTGAATTGTGAGTAGAAGAAGATAAACGAAGGGTTTAGTTTAGATTGCAATTGACTGGTGAGAATTTTCTGATGTCGGGGTTTTGTTATCTGTTATGTTCTTCAGGTTCTTCCCACCAAAGTCACCAGTCTTCCTCCATTGTTCGAGAGTTCACCAAACGCAGCTCAGAAGTTGACTTTTGCAAGTAAGCTTCTAGGTTTGTAGTTTTGGCTTTGACATTAGTTTTGTCTGTCCTCATGACTTGTGTTAGTTAACTTTGGTTTATATATATACCTCGAGATCTCAAGGGTCACAAAACTTGAAAGAGATTGTGTATGTCAGGTTTCTCTCTTCTTTAGTTTTGTCTGTCTCTCCCAAATATTGTTGGTAGAGGCTAAATGTTTAACACGGCAGAGAGATTAGGGTAGAGAATTGTTTAAAATTAGAAGATCCCTAAATTTCTATTAACATATATACATAACTCCTATAATTTACAAGCTCTGAAATCTGCAAAATTATCTGGATCTGTAGCTAAGGTTGAAGCAGTAGCTGTTGAAGAAGAAGGATCTCAGCATCCTGAGGAGAAGAGTAATGAAGGTATAATAAAGAAGCAAGTCAACAAACCTTTTGTTTGTAGTACCTGCTCTGGAATATGATAACTTATGTCTCATGGTTTAGCATCTGTCATGGTGACTGAGAAAACCCTCTCCCAAGAGATAGCAAAATACCTACGCTTGTACCACGACTTGAGAAGTCTCAGATTCGAGCAAATTGACATGGACATGGAGGATCCTAAAGAAAAAGAGCAAGAGAAGAAGCACGTGGAAGATGTGCAAAGCTCTGTGGTTAAATCCGCAATGGAGATAATGAAAGACGCTAAACAAGGAGAGCCACTTGAGGAACTCTTTGGTACGGTGAAGAAAGGGATTAAAGAAGTCGAGCGACTTATTTCTTGTCTCAAGGATGAGATGGAAACAAGTGCTTAGAAGAAGCTGGACCAAGATGCAAAATGCTATGATTTCAGCTTCTTAATATACTAAATTAGTTTTTCTTTTTTTTTTTCCTCCTTCCATTAGTGATACTTAAATATGACTGTCTTAATAACAAGCCAGATATAGAGAAGAAGAAGAGCAACAACATAACTGAACAAGGAGGAAGAAGAAGACATACAGTCTTGTGTTTTGCCCAAACCTGCAACTCTCGTTTACATTGTTGTAGTAGCCGTTTGCGCCTTGTGGTCCCAAAACCTTAACTTACATACCAAAACCTTAATAAAAGAACCACTTTACTATCTCTTCCCACACATCCAAAACAATTGCATCAGCATGATATAGTCTAGTTCCTGAAGAAGCCATTCCAACACAAAAATCAGAGTGAAACAGAGCTCCTGTTGAGTGTGTAGATGTTTATTTATAGTTTTTTACGTGAATACAGTTTCCCGTTTCCATTACTAATACAATTCATCAAAACTGTTCCTTTTTGTGGAGTTAAAAATCTTTTTAGTTAGATTTGGATTTCTTGTTTAACTAAGGTCCAAAACGGCGTTGATAAACATTTTTCTTTCTTTTTTTTTGTAAAAATGTGATATTGATTCTTCCACCATTTTAAGTAGCCCAAATGGCTTCAGTAGGGAGAATGAACAACTGCAATCCCAAAATAATAACCCAACAACTGACTTTTAAAACAAATGGTGTTCAAGTTCAAACAAGAACGAGAGCAGTGATAATTAGTTCTGATAAAACTGAAGTAATGAAACAAGTTAAATATAGTGGGAGGAACACGGATGATATATACCCGTGACGTATTTAATTCTAGTTGAAAACATTGAGGTGTACAGAGAAACACACTTAAACTACTAGTAAGCTAATCACATTACAGAAACATAATATTCTCAACTTAGACCTGGGAAGAAGAAGATTAATATGTTAATTATACATATGTGTGAGGAGAATGAAGTTATCGTCCGTGGCTAGAGTTAAAAAAGGAATTTGTCTTTAATTTAGGATTTAAGTAATTGATTATTACCATTTTAGTTAAAAAGGAATAGGATTAATTTGCTTTTCTTATAATGTTAAGTCTTTGCTATAAATATGTACGCTCATAGAAGAGAAAAATTCACAGAGAAGCAAACAAGCTTTTAGAGAATTGATTTCAACTTCTTAAAATATCATAAACTTCAAAAACATCTCCACTTCTTAAGCGATGGATCCGCAACAAACGGAAGTTTCACAGCAGTTGGAGAGATTCAAAGCTTACGATAGCTGTAGTGAGCTTAAGGTATCTCTACTATTACTATTACGTGATTTGTTAATTAATTGTTAGTAGAAGAAGACAATGTAGTTTAGATTGCAATTGACTGGTGAGAATTCTCTGATGTCGGGGTTTTGTTATTAATTTGTTATGTTCTTCAGGTTCTTCCGACCAAAGTCAGTAGTCTTCCTCCATTGTTCGAGAGTTCACCAAACGCAGCTCAGAAGTTGACTATTGCAAGTAAGTTTCTGTCCTCATGATTTGTGTTAGTTAACTTTCGTTTATATACCTCGTCGAAAGGGATTGTGTGTGTAGATCACTATATATTTTTTTGGATTATCCGCTTCTATGTAATTGACAACTGGTAAATTGACTATTGCAAGGTTCTGTTTGCTCGGAGGTCTCTCCTCGTCCCGTCATCCATGCTAGCCAAAGAAATAAGCCAAAGAAGAATAATGACAAGAAGAAATCTTTGGCTTCCACTTCAAAATCATGTGTCAAACCTGAAGCTGTGGGATGTGCTCTTCAAAGAAAGAAGACTGATGGTTTCACCTTAGATTTTGAATCTCAGCCTGTCACCCAGGAGACCCTCTCAACAGAGTTGGAAAATTACATACGCCTCCAATATGATTTTATACAACTCAAGATAGAACAGTATAGCTTAGTGGAAGTTGGTCATAAGGAAAAAGAGAGACAGAAGGAGCACTTGGTTACCCTGAAACAATCGGTCAATGACTCCATAAAGGAGGTGTTAAAAGATTCCGAAACCGGAGAGAAAGATCTTGCGACTCTTGTGGAAATGGTGGAGGCTGGGAAAAGGAGGACCCAAGAACATATCTTTCGTATCAAGAAAGAAATTGGAAAGGCTAAGAAGAAGATGCAGGATCAAGACACAAAGAAGAATAAGAAAGAAATGAGAAGCAAAACAAAACGATAATTATATTGATTGATGTTCAAACTCTTGATCTCGGGAACTGAGAACCAAAATAACAAAGAAATATTGATCTCTAGCTGTTAACGTTTTTTTTTAGTAATTTTGCGATGTGAATGAGATTAATCTATAACACATTCATGTTTGCTATCTTCAAACATGATAAAATTTAAAATTTCTATCGTGAACAAAAGAAACGATTCTGATTCAAATACATAAATCATAAACACTCTTTGAACTCCACTATTGATGTGATCATGTTACAGAGTTTGATACACACTTTGACTTGGTGATGAGTAATCGATGATCAATTGGTCTTGATAACACTAATTTCACTAGAGACATCTTTTAAATAAATAAAAAAAGCCCTCTGGGACTAAGCAGCTGTTGTTGTCTCTTCCACCACCTCCTCTGTTTTCTTCTTCTTCTTCTTCTTTTTCTTCTTTTTCTTCACTCCATCGACATCTTCTACAATCTGAGTATGAAGCTTTCCCATCTCAGTCTCGATCTTCGTGATTGCCTTCTCGATGAAACTATCGACGGCTTCTCTCACCATGAGCTTGTACGGATCTCGCGAAAGATCGAGACCCAACTCCGCGGAAGCTTCTTCTCGCGCCTTGATCTCTGTAATCTCAAGTAAGCTCGAACGTTTCAGGATCTTCCTCACAGTTTCCTTGATCTTCTTCTTCAGATCCTTATCGATCACCACTTCTTCTTCTTCTCTCGCTGTCGCTGCTTCTTTTTCCATTGATTTTGATGGACACAGACGGCGATGGATCGACCAAGGTTGATGGACACATGAGTGTGAGCCTCTGAGGGTTTCGCAGAGAAAACAAATTCAAAAACCCTGTCTAAGTGGGCCGGCTAATGGGCCTATAGTATGTTCAAAACTTAATGGGCTTCGGCACATATACTTATTTGGCCCTTTTCTTTGTTTCTTGGGATTCAGGTCAAGTAGGTTTTTCCTCCTCTGTTCTGTTGTTGTTTTGTAGAAATTGTGAATCCATTATTGGGAATTACGATGGAAACATCAAGATGGAGGAAAACCGGTTTTATGCGTCGAGTCCCACGTACCTTCAGATATTATCCATATGGTTCTTCAGGGTCAGTTATGTTTCTTTAGCTTTCGTTTAGTCCTGTCTTGTGAAGATTGATTGATTGAGTCTTTTTTATTTATTTATTTTGTTTGTGTATTTTGGTAGGCTTAGCAACGACATCTATGAGGAGATTAAAGGACTAGGAGTTGATCTGTCCCTTTGTGTGGCTGAATCCATGTTCTTGCTCTCTGAAGACATTCGTGCTATGTTATATTTCTGCGCTAAGTTATGGAGAGATGTGGGGGAACCTACAAGTCCCGTCTCGGAAAGGCTGCTTCGTGTGATGCATTATGTCTACTCAAAACAGATCGAACCATACCAGAAGAACAGAGGGAATGGTTGCGGCGTATCAGTCCAACGTGAAGAATTGATCAGGAGCGCTTGGGAAGATTCTACTGGCAGAATCAGAATCAGACATTTGCATCGCCTTGTTTTGCTTGTCAAAAAGAATACTTGCTATTTTCAGGATTATATACTATGCATGTGTATTCGTAACTACAAGCAATTGCTCAAGAGGCTAGAGGATAAATTGAGGCCCGTTTCAATGGAGGCTAATGCTCTTGCACGGGAAACTAGACACTCTATTTCTGACTTGTGGAAGTCTCTCTATGATGAAGATGAAACACCTCAAGTATTAAGGGATAAGATTGTTTGCGACCTCTTTCACCCTATCTTGCCCGAGATACAGACACTACCTGTATATGCTCCTTTCATTGTAGGGTTAGTGTGTAACTATTAACTCTCTCTCACTATCCGTAGGTTACATATATAATAAAGTCACTCTCTTCTTCATATTTGTTATTTTTAAGTTGTGTTATTGTTGCTGTTTTGCAGGAAGGGTTATGCAGAGCAGAAGCTGAGAGAGGAGGCTGTGCAACTAGGAGTTGAGCTCTCGCTATATGTGGCTGAATGCATGTTTTTGCTGTGTGATGACGTTAGTAGCATGTTACGCTTCTGCTTTAATGTATGGCGAGATGCAATAAGGAACCGCAATCGTGATAGTCCCGTGCTGGAAAGGTTGGTTCGTGTTTTTTATTATGTCTACTTAAAAGATATCAAACCAATGAATGGAGAATTACGTAATGGTGGAGAGTCAGTCCAGTGGAGACTGATCACAACGACTTGGAGTAATTTTGTTGATGGAATCAGAGACCTGGATCGCCTTGTTTTGATGCTCAGAGGAGAACATAGCGGTGTACATTACCAAAGTTTCAAGTCTAGTGTTGGAGATTCGCTCAAGGAGGTAGATGACAAGTTGAGGGTTGTCAAGGCTGTTTCAGAGGCGAATGGGTTTGCGAGGGAAGCCATGGAGTCCAACATTTTGGACTTGTGGAAGTCTGTCTTTGACAAAGAAGCCAAAGAAGCAACACAGACTATTAAAGTGATTAGGCTTGAGATGCTTCGTGATCTCTTTCTCCCTCAGTGGAACGACTAGTTTCTTTCTTCTTAGATTCTATCACATTAGTCTTTTTGTTTTTCTTTTTTTTTATATGAAAAAGGTTATTTGTAACATACAGAACAGAATCAGAGCAATTCTTACCTATCTATTCTCAAGTTTTTTTTTTGCTTGAAAAGTGAATTGTTTGATTTTTTCCTTGCAGGACTTTTAGCGATGGAATGTGGTCAAAGAGGAAAAGTCATATAAGTGCTAAATATTAATATACAGTATATTGGAGAATCAGAGTGCGAGATATTGATGTGGGCGATGAAGTATTATTTCTCCTATGAATTGGTGTCTATCTTGTATTTTATACCACAAACGCTACGAATCTCTAAAATGATATACCAAACACAACCATCGACACAACAAAAACCAGAGAGAATTTTCTATACAGAACTGAAACACAAACTCTAAATTGTTTCATCGTGATCACTGTTGTGGGGATGGAGATTGCTTCTTCCTCCGCGCGTAGAATTTTCCATATCTCACTTCCGGATGTTGATTTCTTTCTATATTCACACCACTGCTCTCATCCACTATGCTTCTGGCAGCGTCAAGACTTGTGATTGCTACTTGAGTTTTCTTGTGGGCATCTGTTTGCTTCAAACCCTCCATTACTTGAGTTTTCACACCACTGCTCTCATCCACTATGCTTACGGCAGCGTCAAGACTTGTGATTGCTACTTGAGTTTTCTTGTGGGCATCTTCTAAACGCGGGCCACCTGTTTGCTTCAAACCCTCCATTAGAGAAGAAGCTTCTTTTGCACGCTTCATAGATTTTCCAAGTAAGCTCCTGATTTGGCTTCTTTCTAATAGTATAGAGTCTTCAAACACCCCCACCTAGAAGAAATAATAATTCGTATAACTTATAAGATCTTAGACAGCTTCTTTGGTAGGGGAAAAAACACCTTAAACTGCAACCCTCAAATAAAAGAGTACTGAAACTTACATCAACCATTTCACAGCCATCATCAATCCGTCCTTCCTCTACGGCCAGGGAACCAGAAGGATTCGACCCGCCAACAAGTCCACTGGAGACAATTATAAACTGCAGAAAACATTGTAAAAGAAACAAAAAAAAGCAGCAGAGCCATTTGTCAAGGTATCACAATACCGCAAACAGAGAAAATGTAAAGAGACAAATCAGGCATAGAACCGGAGACCTACATCATTGTAACACCTCTGACATAGCGCATAACCAAAAAGTTTGGATCCATCACCCGCATGCATACATAGCACCCGATTTTCGTGAATAGACGTTAGTTTCATAGTCAAAAATTTCATTTCTTTTTCTGTGAGCTCCTCAACCTAGCCACACACATGTACATCCATTAAAAAACAGAGGAACATAATGCGAGACCAAAAAAACATGACTCCATGTTGCATTACTGCATAACACAACAACCAATATTAAAGGAGTATGCATTATTATAACTACAATGACAGTGAAATCAGATACTTACAGTTAACTTGGCAACAATCATGTGTGATAATATGACCAGTTAGCATATGTTTCTACAATTTGAAAAACTCTTAGCCTTAAATCTGTAACCCACTATGCCAAACTCACATTTGAACTTTCAGTGTGAGTATCTCCAAACTGAATCAGTCTTTGGGTTACAGCGCCTCCCAACTGATGCATTACGTCTACCTGTAGAAAACATATCAAGATATTAAAAGGGGCTTAAACATCTTTCCACTCACGTATGATAACATTTCTTTATAGCTAACCATATCTTCTTACAGTGTCTGTCTTTGAGCAGTTGATACGATGAGAAAGGGCAGCTGTGTAAACCGCTGCTCCACATATATCAATACATTTCCAGTCGGTCTGCAACCCGATAGGTGCCCACATTAACATAGCACTTAAAAGAAAGAGTACACAGGAAATGATCCACTAACAAAAAAACGTCAAACCTGTATCCAATCTCTCTTCATACTAGCTATAATGTCTCTAGCTGTTTTCAAGACAGCTTCCTCATTATTTTCTTTCAATAAGCCTGCATTTGTGTGATGAAATGAGTAGTAACCAATATAACTGTGTGCTTCTGGCGGATGAACAAAGCAGCAAAAGAAAATACAGCTATAGTAAATTTATGCATCAACCCAATAAAGAGAAAAATGGGAGCCAAAAGTCGTCATAATTACCTTTTGAGATGCTAGGAATGAAAACTGAAGGATCAAGAAACTTTTCATAATCCCAAACTTTAGCAATGTTCAGTATCAGACAGAGTTGCCAGTACACTGAACTCAACTCGTAACTGCAAAAGGTTTGATAAAACGAAAACAGCAAAACTCAGCATTATATTTTGACAATGCGTAGTCCCCACAACAGATCTAATGGGTAATTAAAGAAACCAAAGAAAAGAGAAGAGAATGAAAAGAAAAATATCAGCTTACATGCTAACCCGAAGGTAGCTTGAAAAATCAATAAGAAGACACGGAAGGTTCTTCTCCCTACATAGTAAGAAAGTTTGTGGTCAACACCGCCATAACCAGTAAAGTACTTACATTATTCTAGTATAATTTTCACTGTTAGATATATATATTTTTATGAAACCGATCATAGCAGTCAAGTAACATACACTGAATAAGACATCACTAGTATTCATCATGAGGTTTTAAAGAGAAGAAAATAGAAGAGCAACAAGATGATTACTAACCTGCAAGTCAAGTAGAGGCAGGAAGCCCTTACTAGTTCAGTTCTGTATCGTTTAGTGAAACTTTGCTCAACTGCCGTCTTCAGAAGATAAATTGAGTTAAAAGAAGGGTTACAAGTCCTTACGAATTAATATTCAGAAAACAGAATAGATTTAAACCAGAACATACTGTAAAGAATTGAGCAGCCAAGCCAATCACATCACCTCCTTCGTCAGCAATTCTCAAGGCATCCCTCAACATGATAAGCTCATTTTCAGCTGGAGAAATAAGAAATAGCCAAGGTCTGTTAGAAAAGAAAAACTAATCGAGCAAGAATAAATGTATCATCGTCAAGATGAAGCTAATTGAGAAGTTAGATGTATCAGTTGAACAGTTGCATTATTTATTGACACTAGTGAACATAAATTCATATAAAAAAAGGCATATACCTGATTCAGTTTCCGTTTCAGATGAGTTTGAACTCGCACTCTGAACACTAGGCACTACGTTTTCTGGCCCTTGGCTCTGGAGGCACAGAATTAAATCTATAGGTATCAGTAAAGGGTTGAAAAGACTAGAAATCTATAGGTATCACTAATAAAAGCATGAAAAGGATAAATGTATCTATATCTAGTAGTTGAAGCGAATAAAGCTGGTTACTTACTCAATATGGAATTCACAAAAAAATGGAGGTGAAGAGAATTCAGATACTCGCAAAAATACAAGGGACAAGAAAGAAGATGGGCCAAGAACACATGTCTAAGTAGTCAAAAGAAAGGTGCGTTAAAGCTGTCCAGCGGTATGGTTCAAAGAATGTAACTTGAGTAGAAGAAAGCTTGAAAACCTGCTCCAATGGCTTCCCGCACATGATACATCCCCTGCAAAGACAGGAATGGAAGGCAAATGTAACAAAATCAGGTGAATGAATTGAATTAACGGGAGACTAGAGAGGGCTTACGAAGGACTATTAATGTAGCGGAGGAATTTCTGGCCACAAATAGTACACCGCTTTGATTCTTGTTCAGTGCCAGATTCAGGACGCTGCGGAGACCCCATGGGGTTTGAGAAAGTTAGTGTCACTCTTGTAATTAGAGGAAACAAGTATCTAGGGTTTTGAGATGAATTGATGAAGAAGAAACTCTCAATTTTGTGTCACTCGTTTGCTGAGAAAGATTGAGAAAACGAAATCTACACGATTCGATTTATCCAGTTGCAATCCCTAAATCTGGGCTCGGAATTCACCAAGATCTTACAGATTACAATCGTCTCTCTCTCAAAAAAGAAAGTGAAATATTTTCCCGAGAAAGTGATTACCAAAAATTCCCAGAAAACTTTCTCTCTCGCGAATGAAACTAAACAGCAAAGAGTTTTATACTCACCGACTTGACGCAAAACTTCTTTAACAACCTTTTAACAGAATCGAAATGCTCCGTAACGGATCTGCAACAACTTCGAGCTCCGTCTCTGCTCTCTGCAACTTTACTCCAAGCATCGGAGACCAAAACCATTGAAATGTCTTCTCGTCGTTGCAAACGCAATAACCAGCTCCAATTATCCCAAACCGGAAACAATTCCTGGTACATTTAATCACCCTCCTAAACCGGAACCCTCTGAGTTATTGGGCTTGTTGGCACTCTAACACTTGTGGCCCAAACTTTGTGGGTATCAACTGTTTCAGACCATCTGTAGATGCACACATCTTCTTCACCAGTCATTGACGCCAGCCGCGATCAAAGCATCTTAATCTTGATTATTACAAGATTCCCAATGCTAAGTTAGAGATTGTCTCTAAAAACACTTGTTTAATTATTTCTAAAAACACTTGTTTCTATTTGAGTGGCTTAATTCATTTTTTTTTCCTTAATCAAAATTTAATTCAATAATTTAATTATTTAAAAGTAGTACTGTATTTTAAACTTTTGAAGCTCAAAATTAGAGAATCTCACCATTGGTGATGCTCTTACATTTGTCAAGCTTTGCAAACTTATAAGTGGGTCGCGTATATTGTCATTCTCTTGCGATATGCTTCTCACAAATTCTTCGATCAAGCCTTATATATATATCCTAAGTCGTATATGATTTGTGTAATTATCATATGTAATTAATCTCCTTCTCCAAGCTCCAATCATCTTGACCAGAGAGTATATATTTATGTTTAATTAAGTTTAGTATACAGTATTTTGTTTTTCAGCATCCTTTTGATGCGCTGGTTAATAAACTTTACATATAATTCATTTATTTACTCACCTACTTATATATGTACTACAATTTTTTTTTTTGTTAATAACAATATTTCTTTCTTTGAAAAAAAATAAAAACAATATTTCTTTTATGGGTCAAATTACACATGTCGTCGTACAGTCACCACTTTTTTAAAAAAATGGTTGTTGAACTTCAATAAAGTATTAAATTAACAAATGATAACAACACATATTTGATAAGAGAAGCAAACCTCTAGGCTCTTTTTGTTTTCCGCAGAACACCATCATCATTGAAATTTAAACACAAGAGAAAATGGAAGAACAACAAATCTGAATACCAACAACTTGGTGTGGAAACACAACATCATCATCATCCAGGTATCAATCATTCTTTTATTCTTTTTGTTTCTTTTTTTTTGCGTAAATAGAGATAATCTCTACAAAAAAAAATTTCATTGTCTTACCAAAAAGATCTTGATCTTGTAGACTTGTGTTGATCTTGGCCTCTTTGGGTATAAACTAGCTCATATTTCAAAAAAAAAAATGATTTGGGGGAATCATATAATGGAAACGTCAAGAGAGTTTCTTAATATATAGGTTTGACCATCATCTTTTTAGTTTCAAATTTCAAGTATGTTTTCGTTCGGGTTCTTCTTCCTAAATTATATATTGTCTAATTATGATGTTCTTGATTCCTTGTCCTGAATTCAAACATCTAAACATATATGAAAATGATCAGATCATAAAGCTCAAGACCAGATTCATCATCATCAATTTTTCTTTTATTTTTTGTGAATCCAATGATAATTTCTTTTCTGTTATATTGATAATCCGAACGGATCATTGGTTCAAAATGATTAAGATCGGGGAGCCTGAAACTTTTTTTCTCTATTGTTTCTGGTTATTTTAGCAGATCACAATAAAACTATTCGATATTACCAAAAGAGTTATTGATAAAATATGTTGGCATTCGTGAAATGCTTCTCGTTGAAGCGAACAAAGCATCCTCGTGGATATGAGGATCCTCATGTTCTTGCATCCGAAACTCCCTGTAAGTCAAACAATAAAAATATAACCTCACAAATTTTCTTAAATTAAAATTAACTCTAATTAAGAAAAAAGATTAAGAAGATATTATAATAGAGAGACGACGACATGTACACATATAAGTATATAACAATAACGATTAACGAGTATGAGCTGTAATAGCTATATGCATTTTTTTATGAATAGCAATATATGATTGATCTATGCTATATGCAGTTACGGTGAATGAGATAGAGGCTTTACACAATCTGTTCAAGAAGCTAAGTACATCCATTATCAACGATGGTCTTATCCATAAGGTAAACATTTTTTTAGGGCTTTTTCTTTGTTTTATTTTTATAATATATAAAAAACAAAATTCACATTTTTGGGTTTTAAATTTATATTTAAACGAACTAATATATGTGATGAGCAGGAAGAGTTTCTTCTGGCTTTGTTCAGAAACAGCAGTATGCAAAATCTATTTGCAGACAGGGTTCGTATCCATACTTGCATCGTTAACTCTATTTTTCAATGTATATGAATGACGACAAGAGTATTGAAGAAAGGTTTGGTGCAGGTGTTTTATATGTTTGATAGGAAACGAAACGGTGTGATTGAGTTTGGAGAATTTGTTCGTTCCCTTAGCATCTTCCATCCATACACTCCCGAACATGAAAAGTCCGCATGTACGTTACTTACCTACATATATGTATAAACACTTTAGGATCATGAAAATTAATATACGTATGTACGAATAAACTCCAAGAGAGTAATCTAAATCGTTTACAACTAATATATCACATATGGTTTTTTTTTTTACTGAATAGATTACGTATGTTGTAAAATGTTGTAGTTATGTTCAAGCTTTTTGACCTCCACGGAACCGGCTTCATCGAGCCCCATGAGGTACTGATAAAATGCTATATAGATTATAGATCTCATCAATCGGTAATATGCATGTGTATATAAAATTGATGTAAAAATGCATATATATATATATATATATATGTGTGTGTGTGTGTGTGTATGTGTTCATTAAACCAAAAAAGATATGTATGTGTTTGTGCATGCATGCATACATGCATAAACGTTTTTGATGTGTAATATGATGGGTTTGGTAAAAAAATAGCTGAAGAAGATGGTGGGCGCACTATTAGGTGAAACAGACTTAGAGCTATCGGAAGAAGCTATTGAAGCTATCGTGGAACAGGTTCATGCATACCTAATTTTAATCTATCTTTCTCTTATATATGTGAAATTCCTATTTAATATATCATTTGTTAGTAAACTGATTGGATTTTTACAAACAGACGATGATTGAGGTTGATACAAACAAAGATGGGAAGATTGATGAAGAAGAGTGGAAAGATCTCGTAGCGAAGAATCCTTCAATCCTCAAGAACATGACTCTGCCTTACCTCAAGTATGACTATTTTTTGTTCACTTTTTTTTTATTTATTTTATTTGGGGAAAAGGCATATTATATATGTGAATTGACTCTTTCTTATATTTGTTGATCATCACACTCTTACATGTATCGTCGCTATTTGAATGATTTGGTGGTATAGGGAAGTGACATTAGCATTTCCAAGCTTTGTACTGGACTCCGAAGTAGAAGACTAAGAGAGAGCATGGAGCATCGAGGATGCCTTGGGGGGGAAAAAAAGTCTGAAAGCAATGATTCTTACAAAATTTTATTATGTATGTTTCATGTCCGCGGTTTTAATTAATTAGTTACTTACTGTTGATGATATATAATGATTCAATTCCAAGGGAATTTTACAAACAATCTTCTTCGATTAATAAATCTTTTAAAGGTTTTTTCAATTGTAGCCCTCTCTTAAGTATTTGGTCCGATACACTTTTTTAATCGCGATCGAATGAGATCAGAAGGTGGCAAAGTAACGGTCACTGGGGGAGATAAGAGTATGAGAGAGCAACGGCTAGAGAGAGAGTCAGAGAGAGGAGCCACAACTACAACAACAGCGTCGGGTCGGGTCCCCACACGTGTGTCCGCGGCCAAGTTTTGATTTTGAATTATTTAAATTTGTATGTCTTATTCATTCATGTAAACAAATTAAATACCATAATCGTGATGACATTAACGTATACTTACCACTTTTTCACAAACAAAATAAAAATAATAAATACATATGTCAGCAGCTCTTATTATTATTATTATTTGTATATGTCAGGAGGTTAAAGCCACCGGCCATCAGGGGCGGACCCACAGATAAGGTGGTGGGGCAGCTGCCACCAGAAAAAAAAAAAAAAAAAAATTATTAAAAAAATTATTAAATATTATTAAAAACAAAATCTGTTCTCACTAAAAAAAATTACTTTTCAGCATTTTTTTGGAAAGCACATTAATCCATGTACCAAAAAAATATATATTAATATATAAATTAAAAACTTACTAATCTAGACCTAATTTTTTGTTATTTTCTTCTTTTTTAGTCATTTGGTTTCTTTGTGTGACAACAAATCAACAACTATCAATTTGTGAGTTTATTTTTCGGCTTTTTTACAATCGTTTCTATTATATAAGCATTATTTTTTGTCAGTTAGTTTTATTTAAGAGGGAATTTCAAAAATACCCCTTTTCATATACCTCTTTTTAAAAATACCCCCTTTTCAAACTTTATCAAAAATCCCATTAAAAATGTTGAAATTTATCCAAATATGTGTGTAATCTTATAAATATATACACAAATTACCTTTATATGTGTCGAAAACTTTATACACTTTTCATAAATAGCGTAAAAATAAATTATAAAAACCGTATAAACCCTTTTAAAAACCTTTTAAAAACCTTATAAAACTTATAAAAATGATTTAAAACTATTTAAAACATTTTAAAATATTTGTATCGAATCTCCCAGTAGTAGTTATTATATAGAAGTACCTTATAAACTATATAAAACTTTATAATTTTTTTATATTTAAAAAGGGGTATTTTTGAAAATGGATAGATAAAGGGGGTATTTTTAAAAAGGGGTACACCAAAAGGGGTATTTCTCAAAAATTCTCTTTATTTAATCAGTTCAAGCTTATAACTATGTTTCTTGGAAAACATTATATAGGTTTTTATGTTATACATGACTATATTAGTTTTTGGAGTGATAATTTTTTATATGTTTATTCTATGGTTAAGCTTTTATGGAAGTTTGTTACATAATTCAAAATTTTAAAATTAATAAATTTTACAATATAAGTCTATAAATTCAAAATTTTCTAAATTTTTAATTAATAACATGTTTTTTTGTTTTTAATTATTTGAATCTGTCACAAATGAAAATGTGGTAAAAAGGTTTCAATTGTTAAATGAGCGTCTGAGTGGTTTTCTAAGATATTTTAAAGTTTTTACATGACAATTTTATGTCTTTTATAATTTAGTATTTGATAGTTTTTTACTATATTTTTGCCCCCATTGAACAAATTTTCTAGATTCGCCCCTGCCGGCCATACTAGACATTTTCAACAACAACTAGAACTCATTTATATTAATATACGGAAGCTTTAATTAGCTTATTAATTAGATGCTGCTATTTTGGTTTTTATACAAATCGAATTTTTACATTTCTTAATGTAGATGTAGATTAACTGGTTAAACCGAATTGGTGGTCATGTCAGACTCGAATGTGGACACAAACCGATCTAATTTTTATTTTATGGATAAGATGATCTGATCGATTAAGTAACAAAGGATAGATACATGCATGAACTGCTCTTCGATCGAATCTATCGTCGAAAGAAATTAAAGTAACCTCTTCTATATCTTTTTTTAAGTGTTTTTATGTTTTGATGACTCATCTTTCCTTTGTACCTTCTTTTTTTATTTGTTGGTACATTACATTTTTATTGTAATTTTGTAACGTTCACCATTTTTTTAATTGAAATTACATATAAAACTATTTTTAAAAAATTCTTTGTCATCCACGGTTATATTTCATATAGAATTATTATAATATCATTATGTTATCGCATGGTGAATAAAATAAAATAATGCAAAGCTGTAAATTTAAAAGTTCACTCAAAAACAAATACAACATAACGTTTCTTGAATGGTAATAATACAAAACTACATTTACAGTATTTTGATTTAATATGATAAACAGGAGGAGGGTTCGACGAACCTAGCGCTTATTACATGACTCATCATTGGTACAAAGTACAAACTCACTCATAAAATGTATTTAGATATTTCATTTTAAATTATACTACTACTTATTAAGTAGTGGAGTATTCTATAAAACTATATAATAGGCAATGATGATTTAAGCTTTTGAGACATTGTTATTAGTAATTTTTTTATATTTATTTTTGGGTTAGAAGAAAGAGGAGGACCCATCCATGTGCAACGGCAATAATCTCGGTTTTTTCATTCAGACCCAACTTCTTCAAGTTTCCCTAACTAAAAAAAAAGTTTTACAAATGTTATGATTAATTAAGTTGGTCTCTAATATAAATCCCATCTATTAGAAAAAGAGAAAATGATTAAGGTTTTAGTTTTTTTTATTTGGTTTCCTTACAAAGAATCACACGTGGCGAGATCTCATTGCACGAATGACTCATGATACCATCGTTAGCCTGCAAAGCCAAAAGCCACGTTAATAATATCCCCCGTTAAATTTGATGACGGAACGGCAACATCACCACACTCCGTTAATCAGACAACAATGGGTGCATTAATAATAATAATTTTCTAAAAAATTAATATTAATATTATATTTCATCTGTTAGTGGAGTAATTGTAAATGGCACTTGTCACTTCCACACATATCTCTTATTCAATATTTGCGCGTGAACTGGATTTTGAGAAATTAAATGTAAAACGATTTGAGTTTAAATTTAAAAGTAAATTTAAAAGGCAGTAATACATTTATTCGAACTTTCGAAGGCAGATTTAAAAGAAAGAAAGTAAACAACGGTCGTGAATGTGAATGTGGAAACTTAACGGCGTTAAGTGAGAGTGATATACAAAAAAATCCGAAAAAGGCTAAGGAGCGCGTCTATTTAAAGAAATTGCTTCTTCTTCTCTCTCTCTCTCTTAAAGATCCTCCTCCCCCCCTCTCTCTCTCTCTCTCTCTCTCTCTCTCTCTCTCT